CGGTTTTAATTTTCCTTTTTAATGAGAACTGTTTGACAAAAAAAAAAAAAAAAAAAAAAATACGCTATTCAAACTTGCTAAATACACGATTCAAACTCACAACCTTAAGTTCTTTAGGACAGATCCTTAACCGACCACGCCATTCATGCGACATACACTATTATGGTTGTGGTAAATCATAGTAATGTACAGTCCTTGCTGAAACCCCTGTTTGGTTTTGTAGGTGTAGGGTGAAACCTGGAGTTCAATTTTAAAAAAGGACGATGAAAGTTTGTTGGAAATCACCTCTAGTTTATGTGTAAAAAATTTGATGCACGTTCAATTCAAAACTGACAACACTAAGACGCTTTTGAAGTTTGAAACCCTTGTTTTGTTTTGTAGGTGTAGGGGGAACCCTGGGGACAATCTTAAACCAGAGCCTTGCAGGCGTCAACGTTCATATGCATGATACATGACTTTATATTTTCAACTGTTTTCAGTTTGCATTCAAAGGGTACATTGCTGCACAGCCAACTGTCGGGGATGTAGTACCTTCATATGACTACTCATACGTATACAACAGGAAAAAAAAATGTCACATGGACTTAGTGAAAAATGGAGATCTAAATGAAAAAACGATGTATTTCAGCAAGTATTAAAACATTTTAGTTTTATTTTAGGCCTTCTTCAAAATACCTATGCCTACAGCAGTTGATTTTTTTTGCCCTAAAACCAAAATAGTTTCATCCATGCCGACTTTCCGGTCGGTTAGCGTGAGCCCTGACTGAATTCTGCAGAAACTTCACATCAATCTTCACATCGCGATGTAAAACAAAATGTAGGAAAACTTTTCTTTGATGCATGCGCATTTGCATAAATGTCTACACACACACTCACACACTACACACAATAAAAAACATAAGAAATAGCCAGAGTGATTACAATAGTTCCTATTGCATTACATGCACAGGAACTAAAAAGGGCAATGAATGATTGTTGGAAATCACCTTTAGTTTATATGTACAAAATTTCATGCATGGCCGTTCAAAACTGGTGACACTGGACGCTTTTAAAGTTTTGGTAACAAGAACAAGAACAGCAGTGAGGCTCTGAGTCAGCACTTCGCGCGGACCAAAAACATGTTACTCAGGCCTGATCAGTTGAAAATGTACGGCAGGCTTTTTTAAGGCAAATTATTTTTTAATCAAGACCAAATTAATTGAATGATATATTTCAAAAGACCAAAACACCATTTTTTAAGTTTTAATTAATAAAGCTGATACCTTAACCATGGATTTTAGTCCTATGGTCACCATTTAACCAACTAAATGGTTGGCATAAAGCCTAGAATTAGTCACCACAGTGCTCATAGTTGTTCAGCACTGCATGCCCCCTTTAAGGCCAGTATCAATCTAGTTATATCCTAGGTTTTTGCCCA